TCCCGAGCCATCAGTAAAAACACAATCACTCCACTGTTCGGGATCCGTCTCCCAATTCCCAATCTCCCCAAAAGAAACAAGGAGGCGACTCAGGAGGCTGCGGCACTTCAACCTTGGGCCACCTGAGGATCCCGACCGAGAGGCCGAGCTGCGGCCAACCTGGGATCCAGACCACAATCTTCTTCATCGTCTAACAAGCGCTGCGTCAGTGCTGGGCACTCAACGAAACACTGGCCCAGCGTCTCAGCCTCGTGCGGGCACGCTCGACACTTCTGATCATCACACATCCCTTTGCTATGCAACATAGCTTTCGGCCAGAGAGAGCCAGACAACAGCCTGCGCAGAGCTCCGACCCTCCCCGCCCCAGTCACAGCCGCCACTCTCCCGCCAACGCAAGCTCGCAGGCCTCGCGGCCACAGAGGCGCGGCTGCATCGTGGTGAGAGGCAATCTGGCGCATTTGCCAACGCTGGATCCCCTGCCGCAGGAGATCTCGAAAAAAGCGAGGCGATGTGGCTAAGAGCGAAATCGCTGGCCCCATGTCAGGCTGGATCAGCACCGACGACAGCATCACCCAGCCGATCCGCTTGAGCGACAGGACGACCACCTTGAGCGGCCCGCGCGCTGACGCCCACGTCAGCTTGTCCTCGCCCGCCTCGACCGTGTCCAGCGCCACACGCCAGGCCTTCTCCAGCGCGCTCATGGACACCGCCTGCTGCCACACGACCGAAGCGTAATGCATGAGCGGCTCGACGGTCGCCGCGAAGACAGGGTCTTACCACGGGTTCCGCTCGCTGGCCAGGTAGAGGGCGTTGCTGCTACCTCGGCCCTTGGCCCCAGCAAGTCGGGCCGCCTCCGAGCGCAGCACGGCAAGCTCGGAGGGGGCCACCCCGCTCACCGCCGCTCCATGGGCGGCAGCAGGCAGCAGGCCCGTCTGCCACAGGCACGCCGCACGCCCTCCAGCAGCTCGTCGCAGCCTCGCCGCGCGCCTCAGCCGCGGCCTCACGTTCTTGAGCCTGGCCTTGACGACTTCCTGCAGGCCTTGGCCCCATTCAGGTCGTGACCAAGGTTCCTCATGTGCGGCTGCGAGCCCACCCTGAGTCGCCTGCCAAACTGCGCCGCTGCATCGCGGCTCTGCCTGGACGTCGCCACGTAGCCCGACTTGAGCTCCTGCAGCAAGAGGCCCACGTCCCCGACCTCATGCTTGAAGCGCTTGACGGCCTGCCACAGGACGCGCGCGCCTCTCAGGTCCGTGCCGACCCACTGGACTGATGTGTCGTCAGCAAGCGTGCGCGGGATCACGTCGCACGTCGCCAGCCGCCGCAAGGCCCGCGCCGTCGCCACCACCAGCACCGCCATCGAGTGGGAGCAGCCCGCCAGGATGCCCTGGTGCGCCGTGAAGCTCTTCGACATCGAGCCGAACGCCTTGATGCGCCCCGGCACGTGGTGATACCTGAGGATGGCCCACATTAGGCGTAGTGGGAACCCCATCGCCCGAGCCTCGTCCAGCAGCCTGCCTCCAATCAAGCTGTCGAACGCCTTCCATGCATCTAGGAGTACAGTGACGCTGTGCCCTCCGTTGATGTTCATGATCTCCGCCGTCAGGATGTGGTGGAAAGCTGCCGCCGTCGAGGTCCTGCCAGCTCCACCTGTGCCCCAGAGATTGGGCACGTCCGCCTGGTCGAGCCAGGCCCGCGAAATCGTCGAGCGCGCCTTCGCCCACAGACGGAGGAAAGAGTTCACAAGGGCAATCAGCCTGCACTTTCCGCTCGCCATGGGCAGGCGCACCAGCGCAGTGTACACCCTGTCGGTCGGCCATACCCCCAACTTCTCGCACTGGCTGAAGAGCGCCGACAGCACGTAAAGGCCAATGTCGCTGAGGTGCCAGAGGGCCCGCGGTGCAATCCCCGCCTGGCCCACCGCGGTGCGCTCCTTGAAACAGAGCGCCACGCGTCTGAGGTGACCGATGCTCATCCGCGGGAGCTCGGCCCAGTCGTCAAAGTCAGGGGGCTTCTCAAGTGCGCCCTGCTCATGGACGGTCCACACGTCCTTCCATCCATCGAGCTCGCGGTCCGCCAGCTGGCGCGGGCTAGCCCGCGCGGTGGCTCCACGGACCTCAGCCTCAGGAGGTAGCCTCGTGAAGCGGTTTGCAGCGCCCGCCCCGCCTGCGAGGCTCTTGGCCGCCCACGCGCGCCACTCCTTCTCCCGCTCTCCATTGTAGCGCCTGGTGAGCCGCTCGGCCTCCGCCACGATCTTCTCGACCTGGGCGGTCCACATCCTCTTGCTCATCTGGCCCACGCCACCCAAGAGCCACTGCGCGGCGCCCTCCGAGAGCTGGCCGAGCACGCGCTGCGACTTCGCCACATTGCCGTAGTAGCGGTGGGTCTCGAGGATGAGGCCCACGCCTCTCTCGATGCGGTCGTCCAGGTCGCACCCGAGCAACTTGACCAATCGCGCGCGTGCAGCATCCAGATGCCGCGCCCACCTTGCCGCCACCATGTGGGCGCTGACCTTCGGGTCGTACAGCTTTCTCCGTCTCGGCGGCTGCCGCGTCGGCTGGACAAGCTTGAAGACCGGCTCGCCCGCCCTGCCAGTGTGCTGCCGCCTCTCCACCCCCGTGGGGTACCAGCGGCTGCAGAGCTCGGCCTCCGCCATGCCGACGACAGCGCCCCACGCTTGCGCCAGGCGGCCAGGCTCCTCCGCCGCGAGGACCTGCTGCAGCGCCGCCCGCCACCCTCGGTCATGAGGAAAGGGCGCTGCGCCCGCAGGCGGCACCGCAGTGAACCCCCGCGGCTCGACGGCGACCCTGACCAGGGCTTAGCGGTCGACCGTGGCCAGGTTCACGTGCACGGGGACGCGTGGGTGCAGTGCCGCATCCATCGTGACCAATGCCTCGCCTAGCCTCGGGTCCAGGTTCGGCGCTACGATGAGGTAGTCCAGGCAGGAGCCCTCCACCGTCTGCCGGCAGGTCGGCACCGAAGGGGCGATCGGGACGCCCCGCACTTGCTCAAGCCATGGCCCCTTCAGCTCGTCTAGCTCCATGTTCCAGTCGCCCATGACGACCCAGTCCAGCCCACGCGCGTTGAGCACCCTGAGGTAGCGCTGCAGCTCGCGGACACTGTCTCCGAGTTATCCTCGTCCATGCCTACTGAGTGCCTCAAGTAGACCACCACAACGATGATGCCACCCTTCACGCCCCAGTGCACGTGGCCCGCCAACACGCGCGCCTCCTCCAAGACGTAGGAGGGCGTGAAGGGCGGCGCCGTCACAGGGATGACGTTGCGCGTGAGGAGCGCGACGCCGCTCGAGACATCCAGCGGGCCTCCACCTGTGGCCACCCCTGGGGCCCACAGACCATGGAAACCCAGGTCCTGCACCTGGCCCTGCAGGGAGCACAACTTGTCGCCCCAGACGCGGTGCTCCTGCACGCCGAAGATGTCGCCCTCCGGGTCCTCCGCGAGGTACTCGGTGAGCCCTCTCGCACATGACACATTTACCGTGGTCAGGACCCCTTTGACAGTGTCCGCACTGCCACCGTACTTAGTATTACCAGATACTCCCATCATCATACTGAGTATGGTATTCCAGAACAACCAAAGCCTCGGCTCCTGGCGCCTAGTAGGCACGGTAGGCCCAAGCACTGGCAGCCGCAGCGATCTGGTGCGCCTTGGCCCTGATCTCCGCTTCCTCGGTGGGGACATGGACCCCAGCGGCCGCGATGCTGTCCCGCAGCTGCTCGAGGGGCGCCTTGTCCGCCGCCGTCCGCAGTCTCTTGGCGTCAGGCGGCGTCGCCGCCACGCCGCCAGGATCCCCATCACCAGCAGGCCGCACGCGCGTCGCAGCCCTTGGGCCGAAAGACGCCGCGATCTTGGGGTGGGCCAAGAACTTCTCCGTGACTTCGCCCGTCGCCCCCAGTTCCTTGAGGAGGTCGGCCAAGCCATCGAGGTTCGGCGCACCACCTGGGGCCCCCGCGGACTCCTTCGCATCGGGAGGCTTGGGCACCTGGGCGCTGAGCGCCCGCGCCTGCTCCTCCAGCTCGGCGGCATCAGCGCGCAGCTTTGTGCCCTTCTCACGCTCGGCCTCCAACGCGGTCTGCGCCGCGGAGACTGCCTCCTGCGCCTTGGCCACCGCCGCCTCCTGCCTGCCGATGGCGTCCTGCTTGGACTTGAGCTTCTTCTGGAGTGTGAGCAACTGCGCGACAACGGGCTTCTTGGCGCGCGCCTGCTTCGCCAAGACCTGCCGCTGGGCCGCCAGCTGCTCGATCGTGTCGAGGATCTCTTTCCCTGGGTCGGAGAGACCTCGCAGCACCCGTAGCTGGCAATAAGATTTGTTCGATTTTTCGCTGCTCGTCTCCTCCCTCAGCGCTCTCCTCGGCGTCAGCACCACTGGGCGCCTCCGCCACGGGGCCCTTTTTGCCCTCCGCGCGCAGGGTCTTGAGCTCCTCTCGCAGCCTGGTGAGTTCCCTCTGCATTGCAAGGTGCTGCCTAGCGGCGCCGGCGCCTGCGCCACCACCAGCCCCCGAGGTGCCACTGTGGCCGCGGCGCAGACCTTCCTCCCCACGGACATGGCCCAGGAAGGTGCGGTCCTTGGCCCCTCCACAGAAGTGACAGAGCTGCTTGGTGCCGAACGTGATGCACGGCATGCCTATCTTGGGCCCGCGCTCGTACTTGCAGAAACGGCAGTGCCAGTCGGGCTTGGTCTCACCGCCACCGCCGCGTCCCACAGGCGCCATGGTCCCTCGCCTGCTCGGGAGAGCAACGAGGCCAGCCACAGGGCCAGGAGGGTCGGAAACAAAACTGTCGGGCAGAAGCGCCCTGGCACTGTCCGCGGACTAGCGGTATCCACTTTTTCCCCTGTGGAACAGAGCATCTTGAGCCAAAATGGCTACGGAAGAGGAAGTGGTGGAGGAGGAGGAGGAGGAGGAGGGACCCCGCTCTCTTCTGCCCCTGTCATGGCGCGCCGGTCGCGCGGGCACGCATCGCCCGCGCCCCTGGCGCGAGAGGTGTGCACCACGGGGTTGCTGCAGGGCGCACTGGTCTCAGGTGCCCCCCGAGCGAGGGGGGCAGAGCACAGCATTGCAATCGAGGATTAAAAACGGCATAGTCATACCAGTCGGATCGGCGCCCGAGCCTCCCTTGGCGGCGCCTCTGGCGCCGCCACTTGGTGCGCTCCGCGTGGGGGTCCAGCGCGGTTTTCCGAGAAAGGTGGCGACGAGATCTGCACGTGTCCACGGCCGCCGGTGAGGCCCACTCTGGGCCCGGGAGCGGTGGACAGCCTCCCCACCCTGGCGTGGTCAGAAAGGCGCGCATCGCGCTCCTAGGGCTGTCCTCGCCAGCGGCAGTGGATATGTACAGTCAAAAACCCTAATAAGGACGCGCGACTTTGCTCAGGGTACCCTTGCGTCCTTGCTCTTCCTTGCTCTTGCGTCCTTGAGGTTTTCGTCGTCCGCCGCCCCAAACATCCCAACTTCGACTTCCAAGGGTCTTGCGTCCGTACCGCGCGTCCTTGTTAGGGTTTTTGATTGTATAGATCTTGTCAAGAGTGTTGCTAAATTAGCCTTCGGTTCTGATTCCGCCAAGGGTAGTGGAACGGGCAAGGGAGGCCTCTTCTCGGAGAACTCTTCGGAGTGAGGCGAGCGGGATCCGAGGCAGTTTGCTCGGCCTCGCTCTCGACTGTGCCGTGCTGCAGCGTCGAGGCAGGTGCTTGCCTTGACGTTGATGGCTTCGCCAGGCACGCTAGAGCCTCCTGGACGGGCAAGCGGGGTGCAAAAAGATCTCGTCGCCCTGACGGCACTCAAGCCCATCACCCCGTCTGAGGGTCAATTGGTTCGCGTGGCTCGGGCTGGACCCTTAAAACGTTGTCTGGCCCCCTTTGCGAGATGTCGCCCAAGTCGCAAATCGTACTGCCACGTACATGATATGCTGAGGTCTTGGAGCTCTCTTTCTGCCAGCACGGAGGGGAAGGGGTGGGTGGGTAAAGATGGGGGGCGGAAAGGGGGCGACGAGGAGAGCCGAGGACGAGGAGATGCGGGCAATAGTTATATCCACATCCAGTGCGTCTTGTAAGTTTGGACTCTCTTCCCAAGAAGCCGGAGGCGCACTGGATATGGATAAAAAGCTGGCCCAACAAGGCTAGACGTCTATCCGTATCCAGTGCGCCTCGGCCTTGCGGCACCCCTTCCCCAAAAGTCCAAGCCGCTCTGGAGATGGATACAAGTATTGCCCGCAGGAGAGGCAGAGTGCATCAGCACGCCACGCAGCAAGCTGACAGGGGCCGACTGCAGGGCCCAGCGCACAGGAGCACGGCCCGAAGAACTGCTGCCCCTCTGCGTTCCGCCACCCGGCTGCCTAGACGTCAGTCGGGCACGTCCCTCTACAGGAGGACTATACAAAAATAGTACAACATAGTCTGGGAACGATCGTTCGATTGTGTTTGGGTTCTGCTTGGATGTGTTTGACTATTGTTTTAGATTTCTCCACCAATTTCTGCCTGGTCGCATCGTCGAGCCTTTCTAGGAAGACCTCGTTGCCCAGCCGGATCCGCCTCGGAATTCTGGTCAGAACGCACTTCTGTGAGAGGTCTGGGGAGTAGCGGTGTCGGCATTCTTTTCGGCTCGAGGGGGAGAAATAACGGGAAGAGCAGAAGTAGGAGGGCAGGAAAGCGAAAGGGGAGTTGCACGAGGAGGAGGAGGAGGAGGAGGAGGAGGAGGAGGAGGAGGAGGAGGAGGAGGAGGAGGAGGAGGAGGAGGAGGAGGGAGGAGGAGGAGGAGGAGGAGGAGGAGGAGGAGGAGGGGAAGGAGGAGGAGGGAGAGCGTATTGAGAGTGCGAGGCCCAGAGCACAGGGGGTTCTGTTCCGCAGCCCAGCAGAGCCCGACCAGGCTCTCTGCTCACAGCGCGAGGGTAAGCACCCGGTTCCGACGATGCGGGTTCTCCAACGCAGTCGCAGGGGAAGGGGGCGTCTGTGGATCGGTTGTGCTGCTCCGCGTGACTTCCAGAAGCCGCCCCAGTTTTCGCATAACCCTTCAGAGCTCACAGGGACCCCCAACGCTTCACGTAACTCGGCCACGCGCAGAGGGGGGAGGAGGGCTTCTTAGAAGCATCCCTGCTTCTCAGAAGGCGCGGGCCTTGTCTGCAGATGTAAGGCCGACGCCTTCTAAGAAGCAGCCTGCTTCCAAGAAGCCTTCCCCCCTCCCCCTACCCGCGCGCGCCGCCAAATAACCCTTTAGAGCAGCTCACAGGCGGTCCTGGGCCGTCCTGGGGCCGAAGAGAGCACTGCAATATTTTAGCGATTGTGGCATCCAGTGGCCTGCGGCCCCTCTCGCCACCGTGCCTGGGTTGTTGGTGTGACGCCTATTGGATGTTCGTTGGGATCTCGTGGGAGGCCTCTCGGGGGCCTCTCGAATGCAGTTTGGTGGGGGCCGTTTGGGGGCCTCTAGGAGGCCTCTTGGGGCCTCCTGGGCGCCTCTTGGGGCCTCCTGGGCGCCTCGTAGGGCCTCCTGGAGGCCTCTGGGGGCGGAAGTCTCGGATTTTCAGCGTGTGTTCCCTCTCTGAGGTCTTCGGCCCCTCTTAGGGTCGTCTTTGGGCACTCTCGGACCGTCTTGGGGCCCTCTTGGGCCGTCTCGGGGCGCTCTGAGGCCGTCTTGGCGCCCTCTTGGAGGCTTCTTTGTCAGTTTTGGAGCGGCCTCGGGGGCCTATTGGGTTGTCCTGGAGCGTTGGAAAGCCGAAGAGGCGAAAACGCCAAATTCCCTCAAAAACCTAAGGAGATCAATGATGGTGGCCTCGTGTGGCCTTCTTGGGAGGCGAGGCCGCATTGCTGTTGTGAGGCCATGTTGGGCGTCTTGGGCCGATCTTGGGGCGCCTCGGGGCCCTCTCGGGCCGTCTTCGGGGCCTCCTGGGGCCCTCTTGGCCTGTGCTGGGGCCCTCTTTAGGGCCCGAACGAGTCGCGCGCCACCACTCCCCCGAGCCCACGGGGGCACGCCGGGAGCCCCGGCGAGTGCTGTCACTTGTGGGCCCCGGCCCCCTCTGGAAGAGGCTCTTCGGGACGGAGGGCGGAGGCTTTCAGGGAGCAGCCACGGTGCCCGGAGGCACGGCGGCAGATAGAGCTGCGAGCGCGGGCGGGGTGGGCGCTGTGGTTCCACCACCCGACGGGTGGGGATTGGCGCATGTTGAGAGGAGGGTGGTGGGCCTTCTCTTCCACTACCACCAGAAGTTGGAGTGGGGAAGGAGGAGGAGGAGGAGGAGGAGGAGGAGGAGGAGGGCCCCCTCCCCCTTTGTGGTGGTGGCGGTGGAAGGCGAGCCCGCCAGAGGAGGGCTCTCGGCCCGCCTCGCCCGCCCCCCGCGTGCCGCGGCATCGCCGCGGGGTGGCGGTGGTGTCGGTGGTGTCGGTGGTCGGAGCACGGTCTGAGTGACGAGCGAACAACTCACACCCATACCCATCGGAGGGTCGAAAGGAGGACGACTGGCTATGCGTATGGGTGCGAGTCGTCGGACCCTGGGGGAAGCTTCCGTTCGAGCGGGAACCCCCATCCGACAACACGCACCCACAGCCCATTCCGTCCCCCCTATGGATATGGGTGCGTGTTCTTCGATCGTCACTGAGGGCACTTCCAGTCGGGGGCAGGGATGGTCGAAGAAGAGAAAGGACCATAAACATGAACTTTCGGCGCTCCGCTCGGATTGCTTGGATCCGCGCTGGGCCAAGACATCCAGCGGTTCGAGTTTCTACGGGCACAGGCGATGCGACCTTTCGACCCCCCACCCCACCCTGGGGCCGGCTTCTCCTCCTGAGAGTCTGCGCGGACGGCCCCTTCGCCCGCGAGCGGGCTCCGGACGCCGACGATGGCGAGCAGCATCGGTCTGCTCTGCTTGCCACGACGTCGGAGGCCTGCGGAGGGGGGCGTGGACGAGGGGGCGCAGGGGGCACGCTTTCTTTCCAGGAGGAGAAAAAACACACAGACACAATTCATCGTCGATTCCCCATACCATATAGGAAACTATGGGCCGTGGGGGGGGGAAGAGAGAAACCCAGAACGTGTGGGAAAATGTGGGATATCCTTGCATTCGAGTTCCGACGAAGGCATCTATACACCACCGTGACAGGCGAGGGCCATCCTGAGCCCTAGGATGGTGTATAGACCCTCCTGGCCTCGGCCAGGATGGCGTATACACCATGCCAGGGCCAGGATGGCCCTGGCCATGGCGCGGTGGTGGTGTATAGATGCCTTCTGCGTATGAGTGCATTTCTCTGGGTGTCCCAGGGCCCCTGCATTTTTGTCTACCATCCAGGCGAGGCCCAGCGGCGGAGGCGGAGCGAGAGGGAACATGCGAGGCCGGGAGCGCACGGGGAGGATCAGGAGGAGAAGGAGGAGGAGGAGGAGGAGGAGGAGGAGGAGGAGGAGGAGGAGTGGAGGGGAGGAGGAGGAGGGGGGAGGAGGGGGAGGAGGAGGAGGAGGAGGAGGGAGGAGGGAGGAGGAGGAGGAGGAGGAGGAGGAGGAGGAGGAGGAGAGAGGGAGGAGGAGGAGAGGAGGAGGAGGAGGAGGAGGAGGGAGGGAGGAGGGGGGAGAGGAGGAGGAGGAGGAGGAGGAGGAGGAGGAGGAGGAGGAGGAGGAGGAGGAGGAGGAGGGGGGGGAGGAGGAGGAGGACGAGGAGGAGAGGAGGAGGAGGAGGAGGAGGAGGAGGAGGAGGAGGAGGGGAGGGGGAGGAGGAGGAGGAGGAGGAGGAGGAGGAGGAGAAGGAGGAGGAGGAGGAGGAGCATCAAGAGCCTCGGGCGTCGCGGTCCTGGCGGGAAGCGGGCGCAGGCTGCCAGATGGCGATCAGCATGATCAGCACAGGCGGCGGTCCTCTGCGTCCTCCCCCAGGGGTAGAGATGAGGAGCCGTAGAGCAACATCGAGGGTTCAGTGTTTGGGTCGCTGTTTGGCCCTTGTGGCGCCTCCGGAGGCCTCTGGCGTCCTCCAGAGAGCTCCTGCGACCTTGGGTTGCTACGGAGGGGTCATCAAGGAAAAGAAGGATGAGTTCCTCCTGCCCCCCTTCGTCTCAGGAAGGGTTCCTGGAGGAAGCGAGTTCTGCAGTTGTGTCGCAGTATTGTGGCGCCGTAGCCCATCCCACTTCCCAGGACCACTACAACTACTCAGGAGGAAGAAAGCAACTATAAGGGAAAGCCTTGGGTACAGCAACCACTTGTTCGTCGCCGTCGTTGTGGAACTGAGGGTGTATTGGCATTGAGGTGACACGAATGTTTCCTAGGACCTCGCAACCTCCCTGACACCCACCTCTCATCCTTCTCCATCTTCCCCCCTTCGTCTTTCACGCCGCGCGCCACGCTTGCGTTGCGCGCGAGGGAGAACGCTTCACGTAAATGGAGCATGTCCAGGTGTGTTTCTGCTCCCTTGCCTGTCTTGCAGCCCTGCCCCCGCCTACAGTTAGGATTATTATGGGTCGGTATGGAATCGGTTAAGTGTCGCGTAGCATGATGTGCGCTTTCAAGCAGCATGAACGCATGATCCTTCATCTCGTACCCCTCTTTCCTTCTCTGTTGCGCACCTCATCATGTGGCACCCTCGGCACGGGCCCCTGGGTCGAAATGACATGTCGGGCAGGGGCCCTGCAAGCGGGCGCACCAGCGCCTCCTGCTTCATCCCGGCACGGGCCCGAAGGCTGGGCAACGGCAATGTGTCGTCACATGCATGCATACACACGTCTACGTGTCTTGCATCGCAGAGTTACGTGCGCTGTAAAGTCGCACAGGGAAGAGGAAGCAAGGCGATGAAACAACAACTCGGGCCGTGAGACCCTGACCACCCGTGAGAGTCATGGGCCCACCCTCCCACCCGCGCCTCCGCGAAGCCTCGGCGGCCCTCCTGCCCTGGTCTCACGTCGCCGACCCATCGCGCGAGCAGCGCGGGAATGCCGCCAGACCGTGGAATGGGGGCGCGTGAGTTTTGTGATCGTTTTTGTTACTCATTGTTTTGCCGATCGGCGCGGGCTCTCGCGCCCCGCCCCCCCCCCACACGGAGTGGATCTTGGCTGTCTGTGGGCGCCTGTTTCGAGCTGGTGGAGTCTCCCCCCTAATGGACGCAATGTCGCAAACAGCCGCACTCAGCAGAGGTCCGGAGCCAGACCCCCCCCCTCCCCCCACCGTCCGCCCAATGTCGAAACGCCGAATAAAAAAACGCTTACATGGGAGTGCGGGTGTTTTCACTAATCTCTTAGCCGTTCTGCCTCAGGCTTTGCAGCCGCAGTCTTCAGAGCGGCAGGAGCGGCAGTCGGTGCTGCGTGCTTTCTTAGCTACAGGCTTTCGAACGCCTCAGCGACAAGGGCGGGGGAACGCTAGCCAGTCTTGTCTCTGGGGCCGCATGTGGAGCTCCCTGAGGTCACGACACGTGCGACAATATATGCCCTCCACTACCCCGCACTTTAAAGTACAAATGGAGCTTGCTTGAACCTTAGCGAGCGCGAAGCGCACATGGCTCTAATACATGCATACGTATACATCTATATGTACACCTATACATACATATGTATGTATGTATAGGTGTATGTATGTATGCATGTATGTATGTATGTATGTATGAATGTATGTATGTATGTATGTATGTATGTATGTATGTGTGTGTATTCCTGTTCCTATGTTTTCTAGGGCCGGGGACCCCGGAAAGAACGCACTCCCCCTGACCCCCCAAACGAATCCTCGGGCCTGTCTTGCGCCTTGGGTTTTCTCTGATGTCCGACTCTCCGGGCCCTCTTGAGCCAGCCTTAGGCCTCTTTGGGGCCCGTCTGGGGAGTCATTTTGAGCCGTCCTGGGGCTATCTCGACGTCTCAAGAGCCGATCGTACGCGAAAAGGCGAGAAGACCGAACACATTGTTTGTCTAATGGTATTTCATTGATTTTCAATTCTCTGGACATTATTCGGCCAGCCTGTGCCCTCTTTGGGGCTCGTCTGGGGAGTCATTTTGAGCCGTCCTGGGCCTATCTTGACGCCTCAAGAGCCGATCGTAAGCGAAAAGGCGAGAAGGCCAAAAACATGTATTTTCCAATGGGTTTTCATTGAATTTCAATTATGTGGGCCTTCTTCGGCCTACCTTGGGCCTCTGTGGGCCTCGGCTTGCGCCTCTCTGCAGCCATCCTGGGGCTATCTTGACGCCTCCCGAGCCGAACGGAAGCGAAAAAGCGAGAATACCGAAAACATTGTTTTTCCAATGGTTTTTTATGTAATATTGCTTTTCGAACCTCCAGGTCGTCCTCTGGGTCGTCTAGGGCCAGTCTGTGCCCTCTTTGGGGCTCGTCTGGGGACTCATTTGGAGCCTTCCTGCGGCTATCTTGACGCCTCAAGAGCCGATCGGAAGCGAAAAGGCGAGAAGGCCAAACACATTGTTGTTCCATTGGCTTATCACGGATTTTCAATTCCTTGGGCCTTCTTCGGCCAGCCTTGGGCCTCTGTGGGCCTCGGCTTGCGCCTCTCTGGAGCCATCCTGGGGCTATCTTGACGCCTCTCGAGCCGAACGGAAGCGAAAAGGCGAGAATACCGAAAACATTGTTTGTTCCAATGGTTTGTTTATCAATTTCCGAACCTCTGGGCCGTCTAGGGCCAGTCTGTGCCCCCTTTGGGGCTCGTCTGGGGACTCCTTTGGAGCCGTCCTGGGCATATCTTGCTGCCTCAAGAGCCAATCGGAAGCGGCAAGGCGAGAAGATCCAAAACATTGACTGTCCAATGGCCTGTCACGGATTTTCAATTCTTTGGGCCTTCTTCGGCCAGCCTTGGGCCTCTGTGGGCCTCGGCTTACGCCTCTCTGAGGCCATCCTCCAACGGGAAAGGAAAAGCGAAAAGGCCGCACACATTGGTTTTTAATGGATTTTCTTTGATGTCTGACTCTAGAGGCCCTGTTGAGCCAGCCTTGGGCCTCTTTGGGGCTCGTCTTGGGACTCATTTGGAGCCGTCCTGGGGCTATCTTGACGCCTCAAGAGCCGATCGCAAGCGACATGCGATAAGGCGACAAGCTTTGATGTTCCAATGGGGTTTCACTGATGTTCTATGTTTTTGGCCTTCTTGAGCCAGCCTTGGGCCTCTTTGGGGCTCGAAGCCCGCAGCCAAGCAGCGCGCAAGCCGAAAATAGCATGTTGTGTAGGAGGTGTAGGAAGAGTAGGAGGAGAAGGAGGAGGAGGTTGAGGACGAGGAAGAGAAGGAGGAGGAGGAGGAGGAGGAGGAGGTAGAGGAGAAGGAGGAGGAGGAGGAGAAGGAGGAGGAGGAGGATAAGGAGGAGTAAGAGGATGCGGATGAGGGGGAGCAATAGGAGGAAAAGGGGGGGACAAAAGAAGAGGAGGATGCCCTGCTTCATGCTAGCCCAGCCACTCGCCTGAGACAGATTCGCGCCTCTGGGCCCCGAAACGCCCTGAGATGGTCTCAGCTGGTGTTGTCTACTCGCTCCCGCTCAGGAACTCGTCACCCATTCCGACTTGGCGGTGGCCCGCCCCATGTTCACGCGCACGCACGTTGTTTGCATTCGAAACTACAAGGAACAAGGTGCATGGCGCGAAACGCCAATGCAGTCTTGTATATATATATATATATATATATGTATGTATGTGCTGTCTATCTCTCTCTCTCTCTCTGTGTCTCTATGCTCTCTCTCTCTGTCTGCATTAGATGTATGTGTGTTCCCTCTTTGTCCCGCTTCGGTGTCGTGCGTCCTCTCATCCCTGCACCTCCGCCTCTTTCGTGCGCCTCGTCGTCCCGAGCAGTCGCGTCGGTCGTGCCCAGGCGGCGCCTGGGACAACGCGAAGAGGTTAGTGGCTGTCTCTACGTTTGACAAGGCGTTTCCCCCGCGCGTGCGAACGAGGAGGGACGAGGATGACCGGGAGGGATGCGAAGGAGCGATCAGGGCGGAGGAGGAGGAAGACGTATGCGAGAGGGGAGGTCAGAAGGGCCGAGTCGGGTCGGTGTTTGGGCAGTCGGAAGTTCTCTCGGCGGTGGCGCGAGAGAATTGGCGATCCCTCTGGATAGCCATCAGCTGTTAGCTGTGGATGATCCGGGTGCCCAAGGAGCGCTCGAAGTAAAAATTGGGCCACCAGAATGTTCTGGAACCCTCGTGAGTTCCCACTCCCGAAAATTCGTCGCAAGTTGAGGGCGTAGAGCCTTGTGGCCCATAAACCTCTCGGGCACCCGGATCCCGACCAAAAATTCAGATACAAAATCCGTCAGTAGCCAATCATTTGCATACATTACTGTCTACGTTTGTGACTCCTTTCGAGGAGCTGCTGAGCACGAGTACGACCTGCTCTCGGCAGCTTTCAAATCAACCATGTCCGGGCCTGATGGAGGAGGAGGATGAGGAGGCTCAGAGGACGAGTTGGGGGCCAGCGTGGCTGGTACTCTGCTGCTGCTTCGCTGGCTGGGGGCGCTACTACCTTGTTCTTCTTTGCCCTGCCACTCGCGCAGCATGCTCTGAACCTGCCTCTGCGGCATCGATGGCGGCGGGCTCGCCTGGATCATCCGCCCCCCCGCAGTGAAGCGCCGCCTGATTAACCGCCACTTGCAACTCTCGAGTCGTGGTCCGCTCGAGGCTGGCCCCGTCGGACTCTGCCACGCGCCTCGCCTCGAGCGCCCGCTCCTCTGAGCGGGCCTTGTTCCGCTCCGTGCCGAGGGGCGGGTCCTGCGCGAACGGTGTCATCCGCATCTAGAGCTGTGTTTTCGGCGGGTTGCTTGTCTCCGAATGATCAGGCTTCACCCTGAAGCACTGCAGTATACCTCTGAACTCCGATGCCGCCATGAGCTCTAGAAGCTGGGTGAGCTGCCCGATGATTGTCTCCACGTGTGGCGGCAGCTCCACCTCCGCCAGCGTCACGACGCACGGGGCTGCCACTTGAGGGTGAGGTGGCCCTATGCTGCGGCCCCTCTTCCTGGCCTGCTCCGCGCAGGCCTTTCCGCGCCCTATACAGTCGGGGCCCTGAAGAAGGAACCCTTTTCGTTGGGGAGGGGCTCCGTGTTCCTTAATTGTTTCGCAGCTTGCCTCAGGTTTTCCTTAAGGCTTTCGATACGAAATCGAAGGTTAACTTGTGGAAAAACAGGGCCTCGTTCCTTATTTAGGGTTCCTTAGGTCAACGCCCCGACTGTATACCGCTTTGATCGCAGGAGGCAAGGTGCAGGCCCGAGCTGGTCCCCCGATCTGGCGCACCTGCTGGCCCCTGTGGGGGGGGCATCTGCTGCAGTGCAGCGATCTCGTCGGATCGACCGGCAGGCACGCCCCCTCCGGCGCCCTGCCTCCCCCCACGCGGCTGCTTGAGAGTTGGCGCCGCCGCCTCCGCCGCGTCCTCCACTGCCTCCGCCTCGCGCCCTGCCGACGCCTGAGAGAATCGGGGGTGGACAGAACGCCCAACAGTGACACGTCGATTAGTAAATTGTCCGTTTTCGGTTCTCGGGAGGGCGCCGTGGCCGTCATTTTCCAGGCTTGCGTCCGCCAGATTTGGGCCTCAGGTCGTTTTCACTAAACCAGGTTTTGCTAAAGGGGGGTCTGTCCATCCCCGATCCACTGCCTCCGCCTCGCGCCCTGCCGACGCCTGAGAGAATCCGCCTGTGAGCCCGTGCAGCGTGCTT